TTTGTAATGAAAATCTCAGTGGTAGTATTGGTCTCAGTGATAACTGTGCAATAGAAAAATCTTACAAATGCACAGTGAATATGAAAAGTGGAAACAGCAAAAAGTAAGCCCCCTATTCTGATAGAAGTAGAAGATAGGAGAAAATAGTTTCCTCAAAGAGATTGATCAAAGTACTTTCTAAATTTTTAACATCTAGAAACAATGGCTGTCTAAAGAGGTCTAGAGATAAGGCCCAGATCTTCTGATTATCATCTAAACTGATCCAATCAACAGTAATCCTGTTAAAGATTTTCCAGTTTCCTGTCAATAATTTATAGAGCTAGACTTCCAAGATTAGCCTGATCTGGATGTTTTGATCATGAGACACCAGCTAGAAGTTCACTCAGTGCAGGATCAGCAATGAAGCCAAGCGACATCCTCCACCACCCCAACCCACCCCCATCTTTTTTTACAGACACAGGCTGCAGTATTCCAGTGAATAAAATGTTTAAAGTTCCCAAACCCACTTTGACAGCAGGAGAGGGGTTAGGGTGTCAGGTGGGTAATGATGTAATATGCCAAAAGGGTGAGGGTGTAGGGTAAATGTTGGCCGAGGGGTAGACTGCAGGGTGGATCAGGAGATAGGGTGCCAGGTGGGAAAATGGGCAGGGTGGCGGGTGACTGAGGGAGCAGGGTGGAAGGTAGAGTGGGAAACTATTATGGCAAATAAACTGGGGGCCTGTGAAAAATCCGCTTTTATCTCTTGAGATGGGTTGTTTTTAGAGGGTTCCAGATAACATGTAATTGCCAGTTGGAAATATCAAGATCCTAGGCAACTACTACAGGGTCATTGTGTCAGGATTTTCTAGAGGTCCAGTTCACATCTTTCAGGATATTGTTGCAATCATAGTGAAAGTGGTCCTTCAAAATTCAACTTTCATTATTTGGCTTTAATACTGAGACTTTCATGGACCAAAAAATGGTTTTAAAAAAGACATTATTTATTTACAATGGCTGCTGTGTTCATCTGACAAAGCCAGTCAACCCACAATGAATATATGAAACCTACGGGAGCAGAATTGTCATTTTTAAGAAAGAGCTCTGAAACTCAGTGCGGGATCAAGAACTCACATCTCTGTTTTACACAACCTTGCACAATAAACTCACACATCCCCAGATGAGGGGGCGGGGAGGGAGTGGGGAGTGAGAATGTGGGAGGTGAGAGGAAAGTGAGGCAGGGAGGGGGGACTAAGGATGGGGGAGATGGAGTGAAGCCGGGGGAGGGGGAAGTGAGGACTTGGGGGATGGGATAGTGAGGACGTTGGGGAGGGGGATAAGTCGAGGAGAGGGACAGGGAGGAGGAAGTGAGGATGAGGGTGTGCGATGAGGACAGTAGGGAGACGATAAATGAGGACGGAGAAGGGAGAGTGACGATGGGGTTGAGAGAGAGGAGTGAGGATGGGGGAGGAGGGGAATGCGGGTGAGGTGAGAGAGACGTAGGGAGGAATGGGGGGGGTAGGGGGGAATGGGGAGGGGGGGGTACGGGGAGTAAGGATTGGAGGGGAAAGTGGGGAAGGGCACAGAGCAGTGGTCATATGGGCAGTGCTGAGGAGAGAATGGGGGCATGCATTGATGTGGGAGGAGGGATTTTGATGAGGAGAGTGGCCTCACCCTCCCCTTACTCCCCTCACTCACTCACTTATTCCCCTCCACCCTCATCCCTCCCAGCCCCTCTCCACAGTTGCCTCCCTGCCCGTCTTCACAGCCTCTTTAATTTTATAAGCAAACCCTTTGAAATGTGCACGTGGGAATTTAAAGCACTGCATCGTGAGTAGGTGTGATGTGTCAAAAGACATTCGGAATACGGGGTGTCTTGATTGAAGTTTTCATGGAAACTGATAGTGCTGATAAAGAGAAGCTATTTTTACTGGTTGAGGAATCTTTGTAGAATTTGGAACCTTTTATGCAACAGCAGTTGATCCTAGGTCAATTATAAATTTCAAATCTAAGATTTTTGTAAATCAAAGGTATCTAGAAATATGGAGCAAACGTGGGCATATGGAGATAGGTCACAGATAGCCATGATCACCTTGAATAGTGGAACAGGCTCAAAAAGTTAAATTGATTGATCCTGCTCCTATGTTCTATGACACTATCACACACAAAGCATGTGACAGCTGAAGGTGCAGTCTGATTCACATCCCAGTTCTGACCACTTGGTGTCAGATAGTTCCCAAAAATCAAACTAGTTTGATGAGAAAAGGTAACTATGTATTTTACAAAATACAGAATTTTCACATAGATTAAGGAAAAATTAAAATGTATGAACATCTAGGTCACTTCTAATGTAGATTGTATTCTTTTGCTGGCCAATAGAAATGCCAACCATTCCCTCGATATCTGAAACACTTAAAAAATTGTTTTTTTTATTTATTCATGGAATGTGAGAGCTACTGCCTAGACCAGCATTTATTGTCCATCCCTGATTGCCCTGGACAAGGTAGTAACAAGCTGCCTTCTTGAACTGCAGGAGCCTTTGAAGTCTGGGGACTTCCAGAAAGGAGTTCCAGGATTTTGAGCCAATGACAGTGAAAGAACAGTGATATACTTCCAGGAAGGTGTGAGCCTTAGACAGAAGCTTGCAGGTATTGGTGTTCCCATGCATCTGGTGCCCTTGACCTTCTAGGCAATAGAGATAATGGGTAGTGAGATAGTAGGAACTGCAGATGCTGGAGAATCTGAGATAACAAGGTGTAAAGCTGGATGAACACAGCAGGCCAAGCAGCATCAGAGGAGCAGGAAAGCTGGTTGGTGCTTGGCCTGCTGTGTTCATCCAGCTCTACACCTTGTTATCTATAATAGAGATCATGGGTTTGGAAGGTATGTCTGAGGAGCTTTGCTGAGTTATTGTCATACATCTTATCAGTGGTACACACTGCTAACGTTGTGCGTTGGTGGCGAAAGGAGTGAACATTAAAAGTGGTGGATGGGTGACAATCAAACAGACTGCTTAGTCCTGGATGGTGTCAAGCTACTCGAATGTTGTTGGAGCTGCACCCATCAGGCTGATGAAGGATATTTCATCATACTTCTGACTTGTTCCTTAGGCAGTGGGGAGACAGGAGGTAAGTGTCTCATTCAAGAATTCCTAGCCTTTGACCTGCAGCCGCAGTACTGACATGGCTAAGTCCAGTTCAGTTTCTGATTGATATGATTCTATGTTGATAGTGGAGGAATTTCAGTAATGATGATACCACTGGATATAAAGACATGATGGTTAAATTCTTTCTTGTTGGCAATAGTCACTGTTTGGCTCATGCGAGTTGTGAATGTTACCTTTTTTTATTCACTCATCGGGATCATTTCTTGCCCATCCCTAATTGCCCCAGGGAAGGTGATGATGACATATCTTCTTGAACCACTGCAGTCCATGTTCTGTCAGTGGACCCACGATGCTTGAGATTTATAAACATGTTATAGCTTTACCTTTAAACACTAAATAAAGTTATTCTACAGCCTATTCGGTGGTCTGCAGTTTGCAACCTAAATTATGGGTGAATTTGTATTGGTCACACTGAAGTCAATGATGTATGACCACACCTGCAGCACTTTGTTTGCCAGGTGGTATCTGTTTATGTTAGGAGAACATGTTCCATTAGAAACGGCTCTGTAATACCAGTTAATTCTAAGGAATGAGACATTTACTGCTGATACTTGCAACATGGATGTTACAGCTTGGTGCCAGTTTTATATTTGCTGCCAGCCACACCACGCCCAGCAAATAGCTCTGCAAAATCTCTCAAGGCAAGTTTGCACCACTGCAAAGGCAGCAGGAGATTCACGCAGCACTTGTGCAGCAGTGAGGCTGCAATAGATGACACTGTTGCTCTAGTCAGTAAATGAAGAGACCAGGGTAAACTGAGTGGTTTCACAATCAGGAGGAAGTGCCTGATTGACATCAGATTCCTGAGCTGAGAGTAATGAGTTAATCAGTTTCTTTTTGAATAATTGCTACAATTTAGATTTTCATGTTATGCTGAATACTCAGTGGTTAGAAGGCCTACACTGAACATCTCACTGTGATATGTGTCTTTAGCACATCCTCTTTAAGCATTAGCAAAACAATAGTCAGTGTCGTTCCCTTGTTTTGCTATTAGCAAATGTTTGGAAATGTTAATTTCACACTGCTTTTGGACTATTAAAACTGCAGTCAAACAGATTAGATAAAACAAGAAAATAACTAGTACTTACATGTAAACATTTACAAGATACTTATTTGCTTCTTTAATAAAAGGATGTTTAAGGGGGAGGGAAAGAGCTGGAGTAGGAGAAAATAACAAAGTGATAAAGCAATTACGAGTCATCACCCTCCTTCATTGTTTCACCCTCTTTCCTTTCCCCAGAGTTTCCCACTGATTAACCTGAGCAACCATTCATTTCCTCACTACCTGTTTGTGGCCAGAGCATAAAGTGACAATTCACCTTAAATCTTTGAGGCCGAACAGTTTAACCTAGACTTTGACTTAAACTATGGTTTAAATTTGACAACAATTCACTGCCATTAGACACTTAAACTTCCCAATATTTCTTCTTACGGATTAATTCTCACCAAAATACAGGAATATAATTTTTTTGTGTCAGATGACAGAAAAGTATGCGTTTATGTTAAAGGCAGCAATCACATAACCCTTTCCAATTTACTGTGGCAGTGTAATCACCGCATATTAGTGAAAATTATAGCCTAGCACACAGTATAATCAGCTCAAACTATTGTCAAATTGGTTTCTGCCAATTTCCCAAAATTCATGGAGGGGTGGTGAAAGCAATATTGTAACAATGAACCATAGTCTTGGAATTATTTTTTTCTATGTCTTCCATATTGAGCCCCTTTCTAATTTTCAATAGTTCTATCTGGTCATACCTCACCCTTCTATTTTTCTGCAATGAGTCCAAGTCTGTTTAGAATTAGGATTAGAATTAGAATTGGAATTAGCCTTCATTGTCACATATGCTCAATGAGAACAGTGAAAAGTTTACACATTGCCACTTGCAGTACCACTTAGGCACAAAGGTACTTAGGTACAGCTTCTTTAGTTAGAAGATCTTAGAAAATAGAGAAATAGAATGTCCAGTGTTGCAGAAATAAAAGTTCAGAAGAACAGTATTCCAACCCAGATCACACTGGCACCCAGCCTCAAGGCCGCACCGGGGCCTGGCTCTAGACTGCGCTGGGTTTCACATTGACGTTCATGAGGCTGGGAGATCGTTTCAGACCACCACGCCAGGCTGAGGACACCATGCCAGGATAAGGGGCCGTCACACTGAGAGGCTTTCCAAGTAAGTAAAATCTCTCAGTTTTTGTGTCATCTTTCTAAATCTGTTTTGTACCCTCACGGACATTCAAACTCCATCATGTCATAAATCAAAAGATAAATTTTTCAATCACTTTAGTGTGAAATCATTAACAACTTTTTCTTTCCAAGCATAAATAAATGGAGATTGACAGTAACTTTGTAAACCTCATTGGTAATTTCTTTAATCTTGAACAGGTCAGAACTATTTATAAGATATGAGAGTGGCTCCACCTGAGGATAAAGGATCTAACATACATCACATTCTCTTTTCAGAGGCTAATGGACCTGCATCAAAAGGCTTCCAGGCTTCACAGTTGCTGGGTGCCAGGTAGGGAGAGGAGATCACCATTTCCTCTAAGCTGTGTGGCTGTGTGTGGATGTAGCTGCACGGAGGGTCCTTGTGTGTCAATTGGTGTGCTGACACTGTCCGTGATATTGATGTCGGTTCTAGAAGTGAGGTTGCCAGACCTGCTGTGCTTTTCCAACAATTTCTGTTGTGAAGTTGAATGATAACTTCGATCATATCTTGCAGTGAAGGTTCACAATATATGGAGTCTGCATTCTCACATTTGATCTTTTCTTGTTACTACAGGCCTGAAAGAGCAACCTGACAGTCCTACCATGGTTGGTAAAACAAGTCCCGACAATTTCTACCAATCTGGGTAACATTTCCAAACAGTAGGACAACAACGTATGTATCGCATAATGTATTTGATGAGCTTTGCTAAGGAAGTCACAATGCACAGGTAAGAAACAGCAATTTGGTGGTTAAAATGAGCAGGAATAAGATGCTTGGATGGCCGTCTGATACCTGGGTGGTCACATGAAGGTCAGAACACTATCCCAGACTACTGAATGACTACTTGATGCCCTGACGGCTGCCAAGGGCTTGAATGAACACCTAACGCCTGGATGACCTAATGCCCAGATAATGAATTCCTGTCTGATGACCATTTGAAGCCTGAATGATTTGGCATCAATGACATGTGGTACTTTATAAAATCTAGCCCTGAGATATCTTTGGGCTGCTATTTCTTGGTGGTTTTGCTGTTGATTGAGAAAGAAGATGAAATTATGAATTAAAATTTCACGATTTACCATGATGGAACTTGAACCAATGTCCTCCATACTTTGGGCCGGATTACAAAGCCGGTGACATTACCACTACACCACTGCTGAGATGAAATTGGGTATCGTGTTGCTGGATCATGTCACCTCTTTGATCTATCTGTGATCAGCACTGGGACTGATACTACAGTCAATTCCTGAAGCAGCTTGGGCTTACCATAATTGGCGCAGGCAGTGGGATTTGCTGTGGGAAAATTTTGCTACAAATGTTCTTGCAGTAGATGATGCCATCAGATTGTCTCCATGATCAAATCCCATGGAGGCACTTGAACATTATTATTGTCAATTACGTTTGCCAAAGACTTGGAGATTGAGTTAGTGACATCAAAGTACAATAAAAAATTCAAATATCCTTGTGCGTTTCATAATAGCATGTGAGCTGACACCAAAATTCACCCACTCAAAATGCCCTTAGCTGGGTTCCCTGAATTTGGCAATCTTTATAAACATTAAATCACCTTCTATGCTGTTTTCAATCTAGTTGTTTAGATATTTTTGTTCCACAATGGTCTACAACTCTGCAAATATCTTGTTTCTTTAATGTAAGAGAAACCCCTCACCAAAAGAGGTTAAAAGAGTGCTACAAATGTAAATATCAATACACCTCACAAAAAAACACGCACCCAATAAAAATGCCTTCCTACATGGAGAATATCTATACAGTAATTTCAGCCCGACAGTAAGATTACATAGTGCAGTTGTGTTCTTCGTGAATGTAAAAAAGAACACCATTCCAGATTCATATATATCTAAATTAATTTTAATATTAATTAAGCTGGGCTGGTCAAAGGTGCAGCTGAACACCTTGCTGGTATATACTCGGAGATAATGATACTCAGATCCAATGATGCAGGACCACAGCATGAACCATAAGACCATAAAATACAGAAGCAGAAGTCTGCTCCGCCGTTTGATTTGGCTGATATGTTTCTCAACCCCATTCTCCTGCCTTGTCGCTATAACCCTTGACCTCCTTATTATTCAAGAATAGTCAAAATAGCTTTGTGTGTGGAAAATTGTGTCTCAATAGCTTGACTGACTTTTTTGAAGAAGTGGTAAAGAAGATTGATGAAGGCAGAGCAGTGGCTGTTGTCTATGTGGATGTCAGCAAGGCATTTGACAAGGTTCTGCACAGTAGGCTGGTTAGGAAAGTTAGTTCACATAGAATCCAGGGAGAACAAGCCATTTGGATACAAAATTGTCTTGAAGGTAGGAGACCGAGGGTGATGCTGGAAGGTTGTTTTTTCAGACTGTAGGCCTGTGACCAGCAAAATGCTGCAAGGATCGGTGCTGGGTCCACTGCTTTTTGTCACTTATATAAATGATTTGGATGTGAATATACGAAGTATGGTTATTAAGTTTGCAGGTGATGCCAAAGTTGGTGGTGTAGTGTATGATGAAGAAGGCTATCTCAGAGTGCAAAAGGACCTTGATCAGATGAGCCGATGGGCTGAGGAGTGGCAGATGGAGTTTAATTTAGATAAATGTGAGGTGTTGTATTTTGGTAAGGCAAATCAGGGCAGGAGTTGTACATTTAATGGTAAGGTCTGGGGAGAGTTGCTGAACAAAGAGACCTTGGAGTTCCTTGAAAGTGGAGTCACAGATAGACAGGTTAGTGAAGAAGGCGTTTGGTATGCTTGCCTTTATTGGTATTGAGTACAGGATTTGGGATGTCATGTTGTAGCTGTACAGGACATTGGTTAGGCCACTTTTGGAATGCTATGTTCAATTCTGGTCTCCCTGCTTTTGGACAGATATTGTTAAACTTGAAAGGATTCAGACAAGATTTACAAGGATGTTGCCAGGTTTTGAGTGTTTGAGCTATAGGGAGAGGCTGAATAGGCTAGGGTTAGTTTCCTGTAGCATCAGAGGTTGAAGGTGACCTTATAGAGATTTATAAAGTCATGAAGGGCATGGATAGGGTGAATTCCAAGGTCTTTTTCCTGAGGTATGGGAGTCCAAAACTAGAGTCCAAAATAAGAGGAGAAAGATATAAAAGGATCTAAGGGGCATCTTTTTCACACAGAGGGTGGTGCATGTGTTGAATGAGCTGCCAGAGGAAGTGGTGGAGGCTGGTACAATTACAACATTTAAAAGGCATCAGGATGGGTATATGAATAGGAAGGGTTTAGAGAGATATTGGCCAAATGCTGGCAAATGGGACTTGATTAATTTAGGATATCTATTCGGCATGGATGGATTGGACCAAAGAGTCTGTTTCCATGCTGTACAGCTATGACTCTATAACTCTATAACTCTATAATCTATCTATCTCTGTCTGAAATGCACTCAATGACTTGGCCTTGACATAGATTCACCACCCTCTGGCTGAAGGAATTCCTCTTCATCTCAGTTCTAAACAGTCAACCCTTCACTCTGATGCTCTGCCCTTGGATCCTAGTTTCTCCTACTAGTGGAAAAACTTCTCCATGTCCAGTCTATCCAGGCTTTTCAGTATTGTGTAAGCATCAATGAGATTCCTCCTTCATCCATCTAAACAACAAAGAGACAGACTCAGAGTTGTTAACCATTCCTCATATGACAAGGGTTTCATCCCTGGGATCATTCTTCTAAACCTCCTCTGGACCCTCTCCAATGGCAGCATATCCTTTCTTAGATACAGGTCCCAAAACTACTCACAGTATTCCAAATGAGGTCTGACCAGAGCATTATGTAGCCTCAGCAGTACATCCCTACTTTTGTATTTTAGCCCTCTTCAAATGAGTGCTGAAACAACTCCACAGAGGCCCATTTCCCATCACCAAATCACCCTTTATTTACACGTGGAGAGTCCTTGACACTGATCCAGCTCCCTCAGAGCCAGCTGTCAGAGTTAACAGAATCTCTGACGCTCCTGTTTTTATCAGCTCCAATCAGGGAACTCATATTCTATGAGGTCCTCTTGGCTGAATTCATTACAATCACTACATTCCTTCCCTTTTGAATCCAAGGGTATAGGCCTGTTCTTTTTTTGTAGCAACTTCTGGGGCATTTTAGCACCGGCTCAGCTTCCTCCAACTCTGCCTCTGATATGGGCGGCATGTAACATACATTAGCTTGCTTCTTGCGCCCGGAGCAGCTTGGATGAAATTAATTCTCTTCTTCTGGCAGCAAAAGCGTTGAGGCAGTCACATCTGCCATGGCTATCTCAGATTCTAAGGTATCTTCAATGGAGAGGGAGAACCCACGGGTTCTGGAACTTTTTATATATATATAAAGAGCAAGAGGATAGCCAGGGAGAGGGTTAGCCCACTCAAGGACAGGGAAGGGAATTTATGTGTGAAGCCAGAGGAAATGGGCGAGGAGATTAAATGAGTACTTTGTATCAGTATTCACCATAGAGAGGGACTTGATGGATGATGAGTCTGGGGAAGGGCGCATAGATAGTTTGGGTCATTTGAGATCAAAAGAGAGAAGATATTGGGGATCTTGAAAAACATTAAGTTAGACAAGTCCCCAGGGCCTTATAGGATATACCCCAGAATACTGAGGGAGGCAAGGGAGGAAATTGCTGGGGGCCTTGAGAGAAATCTTTGTATCCTCACTGGCTACAGGGGAGGTCCCAGAGGATTGGAGAATAGCCAATGTTGAACTTTTGTTTAAGAAGGTTGGCAAGGATAATCCAGCTAATTACAGACCAGTGAGCCTTACGTCAGTGGTAGGGAAATTATTGGAGAGGATTCTTCAAGATAGGATTTATTCCCATTTGGAAATAAGTGGGCTTTAGCAGGAGGCAACATGGTTTTGTGAAGGGGAGGTCGTGTCTCACTAACTTGATTGAGTTTTTTAGGGAAGTGACAAAGATGATCGATGAGGGTAGGGCAATGGATGTTGTCTGCATGGACTTCAGTAAGGCGTTTGACAAGGTTGCTGATGGCAGGCTGATACATAAGGTAAAGTTGCATGGGGTCAGAGGTGAGCTTGCAAGATGGATTAAAAAACTGACTCGGTCATAGAAGACAGAGGGTAGCAGTGGAAGGGTGTGTTTCTGAATGGAAGGCTGTGACGAGTGGGGTTCCTCAGGGATCAGTGTTGGGAAACTTTGCTATTTGTAATATATATAAATGATTTGGAGGAAAATGTAATTGGTTTGATTAGTAGGTTTGTGGATGACACAAAGGTTGGTGGAATTGCGGATAGCGATGAGGACTGTCGGATACAGCAGGATATAGATTGGTTGGTGACTTGGGCAGAGAGATGGCAGATGGAGTTTAATCCAGAAAAATGTGAGGTAATGCATTTCAGAAGGTCTAATCCAGATGGAAAATATACAGTAAATGGCAGAACCCATAAGAGTACTGATAGGCAGAGGGATCTGGCTGTACTGGTACACAGGTCACTGAAAGTGGCAACGCAGGTGGAGAAGGTAGTCAACAAGGCATACAGCATGCTTGCCTTCATCAGCTGGGGCATTGAGTTTAAAAATTGGCAGATAATTTTGCAGCTTTATAGAATCTTAGTTAGGTCACGTTTGGAATATTGTGTTCAATTCTGGTCGCTACACTACCAGAAGGATGTTGTGGCTTTGGAGAGGGTACAGAAAAGATTTACCAGGATGTTCCTGGTATGGAGGGCATTAGCTATGAGGAGAGGTTGGAGAAACTTGAGTTGTTCTCACTGGAACGACGGAGGTTGAGGGGCGACCTGATAGAGGTCTACAAGATTATGAAGGGCATGATCAGAGTGGACAGTCAGAAGCTTTTTCCCAGGGTTGAAAAGTCAGCTACTAGGGAGCATAGGTTTAAGGTGCGAGCGCCAAGGTTTAAAAGTGATGTACAAGGCAAGTTTTTTACACAGAGGGTGGTAGGTGCCTGGAACTCACTGCTGGGGGAGGTAGTGGAAGCAGATACGATAGTGACTTTTAAAGGGCATCTTGACAAATACATGAATAGGATGGGAATAGAGGGATACAATTCCCAGAAGGGTAGGGGGTTTTGCTTGTGACCGGCAGCATGTTGGTGCAGGCTTGGAGGGCCGAAGAGCCTGTTCCTGTGCTGTAATTTTCTTTGTTCTTTGTTCCAGTTGGAAAGGCAGTTGAAGAGCGGGCATGTTTTGCTCCCGTACTGTTTGTGAGTTTGCAACTTTCAGATAATCCATAAGCTTGTTCAGGACTGTTGCTCCTACCCAAACTTTATACATCACTGAACCTGAGCTCACGTTGTCCATGCCTCTTACCATTGCAAGCCCATTCCCATGGTTCCTACAATAAACTTTATCCCCTGAAGTAAACTGCCTCTCGCTTGGCAGAGTTTTGTGTCTGGCATTGGCGTTTCTGATGCCGTTTCACTATCCCCCCAAGTTACGGGAAGATCAG